CAGACAAGGAGGAAGTGCAAGCATCCTATCAAGAACTGGAACTCGCACTGTCTGAAAGTCTACCCTCCTCATGGAAGACTTCGGTGCCATAGTCGGACAAAGAACGGTTGATTAAAAATTCATCCATGAATATGACGCCAGAGAGCAAAATGAGAGAGGAAATCGGCTGGTGTGACAGAAATGAATCAGTTGTACTTTGGCAACACCTAGTTCAAGAAGAAGACCAAAAAGAGGTGGGCGTCAATCGCGCCAAACGAGACAGGGAAGAACGAGGTCGACTCCCTCCTGTTCGGAAAGCGCCTCATCCTCCGACACGTAACAGTAGTGCCATGATTTAATACCACAGACTGGTGCGGGTTGGGCTAACATTCGAGGATAAGGTCGAGAGGAAGGCACTGCAGATGCCAAGTCGCATACAACAGCCGAAGGTACTCTCTGTGGCTAGACTGAAAGTGCGCATTTTCAGCGAAGACTGGAGCCTGAAAGGCAGCTGCGACGACGACTGTGAGAGTGTGCCAAAAAGCTTTGGTGCTGCGGAAAGTCAACCGAGATGGTAAGATCAGTGAGCTAAAGTAAGTATTTCAGATGATAACGAGTTTGTTAGAGAAGAGGAGAATAATAAGAAGAGTTGGGGCGTAAAAGTGGAATACTCTCCTCTCTGCAAGCTCATTGGTCGAAAGTTGTCTAGTTCTTCGAGGCCTTCCAATTGCGAAATGTAGAAAAAATAGCCATAGGCCACAAATGCCTCAGACAGTACAGGAGAAAATTAGTGCTAAAAATTTAACATCAGAACAATTTTGAACAGGAACGACGCATTAACCTCCGACAGAGCCGAAATTCAGTCTATCTGGAGGAATTTTTAGACCAAGCTTTTGCGTCAGAGACACGGGGCTCCCTGCCATCACTCCAAAACCTAGAAGGAAGTGCAGTCCCCGTCCTCATTAGCGTTGTTTGGCATACCGCACAAAAAATGAAGAACGGAAGATCTCCAAGCAGATACGACGTGACAATTGAAATGGCTAGAGCAGAAGTTCAGACGCTGTGGATGGCTCTAGCGATGAGGTTCAGCTGTCATCTGGAAAAGAAAAAGATGCCCTCAAGCTGGAAGGAGTCAAAAACTGTAGTGTTGTTTACGAAGGAAGATCTGAAGCACCGTCGCTCAATCTGCTTGCTCTCACAAGTCTACAAGTTGTATACCACGATCATTACTTGTGAACTTTTTAGACGTCTGCACGAACAGCATTCAAGAGAATAGGCAAGGTTTCGAAGGCACCACAGCACAACGGACAGCATCTTTACTTAAAGTCAATTCCTCAAGCGCGTGAGGGAAGTTCACCTCCCTCTGTGCGAGTGCATGCATATGCATGCCTCCGTCGATTGCGAGAAAGCGTTCGGCGTTGTCGAGCATAACGCAATGTGAACTGCACTGACAGAACAGGGAATCGACACCCGGTATGCTAACATGCTAAAGAACGCGAACTCTGGCTGCTTCACAAACCTTACGGTTGTGACACTCCTCTCCGGATTCGCATGGGAAAAAGCGTGAAACAACCGCACATCATCCAACCCAAGCTCTTCACTGCCTATTTAGAAGTGGTGTTTCGAAGGATGAACTGGAAGGGCGGGATAACACAGAGGCGATGAACCGCTCAACCATCTACAGTTTGCTGATGACGTGGCGATGTTTGCGTAAAGCGTCCGTCAGCTACAAGACGTGCAACAGCTAAAGAAACACCACTGCGGAAGAAACACCACCAAGTAAAGAAACACCACCATCGGACTGCAAATCAGTCGGATCAAGACAAAGACTTGCCAAAGA